TCTAGCACGTCAGAAAAGGAGAAGAAGAAAGGTTAGAAAAGAAAAGCAGAACAAAGACAATAGGCAGAATATTCCTAGACTTACAGAGGCTAAAGCATTAAACAAGATTCAAGAAAAATCAAGACTGAATATTGTATTAGCAACTCCAGATGAATAGCTGACAGAAGTAATATATCAAATTAGCATTAAAAATGAGTTACAGTATAACAAGAGAAGGTGAGAAGAGATGAAAAAAGATCTTTTAGCTAAGTGGATATATGGGTGGAAGTCCCAATGGAACTCGAACACAAACTCATCTCAAAGAACAGTAACACCCAGGCAGGACCCCGAGCAATCTATATACAGCTAAGATTTTTAAAAAATCTTAACAAATTACTAAAAAAAGTAAAAAATCTGCATAAAAATAGTTAAAAATAAGCATATATATTACTAAAAATAGTAAAGATTTGTAAAAAAATAATCAAAAATAAGTAAAAATAAATTCTAACCTATCTATGTATAGCTCGGGGTCCTACCCAGGCCGAAGGGTGCTAAAAATTAGAAGAAGAAAAAGAAAGATTTATTATTAGAGATATTAGAGAAGATTTTTGTAGGTTTTCTCAAAAATCAGAAAATTTTTAGTGAAATACAAAAAAGATATCTGGAAAGAAAACCAAGATTTAAAAAGAAAAAGAAGAATAGAAAGACCAAGAAAAGAAGAGAAAAAGACCATATTCAGAACACGTAAGAAAGAGAATCCAAGCAGGTTGACCAAGACCTAGAAACAATAAAACCAAAAGAAAACTCCAAGGGAAAAATATATAGAAGAATATTTTCGAAAGAAGCTGATAGATTTAGCCCTCAAGAAGAAGAAAGAAGACGCGAAGCTATAGAATGAGAAGGAAAGACTGTAGAAAAAAATATGAGAAGACTCCCAAGAGCCAGGTCTCTAATTAGAAAGGATAGATTAAATTGGAAGAAGAGAAAAAGGAAACATAAATACAAGCGAAAGAATCCTGGCAATACCCTTGTGATAAAAGAAGAAGTTATGCATTTTATTATTAGAAAATTAGATTTAGAGTTAGGTTTTAAAAAGGAGGATAGTTTAGTAAAGAAAAATTGCCAATGTAATGTAGTTAAAAATTTTTTTATTATGAAACTGTCATGTGATAGTTTTCTAGACTAGCTTGGTATAGCCCTCCGGTATGGGCAAAAGCTTTAACCAGTGAGGCAGACCGCACTTGAGCACCCTTAGAGGTAGCCGAGTGATATCAGATCTTCAACTTAAATAGCTTAAATGTATCTTGTCATGCTTTGATTTAATAAAAGATACCGGCGAAGCTGCCGATACATGAAAAAAAAAAATAAATAACTTTTTAGAATCTTCCTGCTGTTGTAAAAAAGATTGAATGATTTTTAAAGATCTTAAAGCATCATAAATATTTATGATTAAAGATTCAGTGCTATCATCATCATCTTTGTAATTATTATCTTGTACTTCTAATAGTTTTTTATATAATTCAACAAGCTTTTTAATGATTTTATTATCATTAGAAATTTATAAATTATTTTTTCTTGTGGGTTATTTAAAAATTCTTTTGTTAATATTGAATTAGACAAGTTAAGAGCTAAAATTTTTTGGTCAAGTTCTCTTAAAGTTAGAGTATTATTATTAAAAGAAGAACCTGATTCAATATTAGAAGCTTGAGAAAGAATTTTAGTATGATTTTAGCAGTTATAAATAGTTTTTGATATTACTTCTTCTCAGCTTTTAATAATATAGTTTATCACTTGCAATATATTTATTTTTAGATTTTTAATAACTTCATCTTCTTAAACTTTATTTAGAATTTATCTAATATGCAAACTACAATAATGTTTTTTTATTGATATTATGATTCTAGCATTCATTGGCTAGATTTTTGATATAGTATTTGAAGACAAAAAATAAATATCAATGTTTAAAAGAATCAAATTATCTATTTTGTGGCTTGAACATTAATCAAGTAATAATAAAACTTTTGATTTCTATATTTTATTGCTATTTCTCTATTAAAGTTCTGAAGTTAATCTTGAAAAATAGTAGTAAGCATCCAAGCCTTTTTATTACTATGATATATTATAGATAGGCTATTAAGGTTAATATTTTTAAAACATCATAGTTTTGCAAATTTTCTAATAATTAATAGATTTAATTTGTGTAATCCATTTGTATTAGTATATAAAACAACAGTAATTCTTTTTTATCTTTTTTATAACCAGAAAATCATTGTATAGCTAGTATCATATCTGGCTCTAATCTATAAAAAATATCGGTCTTGTCCATATTATATATTCTTTCAAGTAGATAGTCTTTATATTTACTTCTTAGCAAAGGTAAAGCATTAGTAATAGCTACTATGTTAGCTAATAATTCTTTACTATGAAATTTTTGCTAATGAATTCTATTATATTCTTTAAATTTATAAATCTACCTAGCTGAAAATTTTAATATTCTATCTAAAACATCTAAACCTTCAGCTAATTGTTTTGTTCTTTCAACTAAAATTGTTTTATTTAAAATAGCTTTACTTTGATAAATTAAAATGAATTTTTTTAAAACAAGCTCAAGTTCAGGAATTATTACAGATTTATGATGTTTAGTATCTGGGCGAGTAATATCAGTACTAAGTATTTTTTTACTTTTTTGTAAAATTCTTATTATTGTTGATTCATCTACTCTAACTTTCTATTTTTTTAATCTAATTTACATATTCTTTTTAAGTCATTTTAATATTATTATGAACATATAAACAAAATTTATATTTTTGAGAGTCAGATAATATAATTTTATTTTTTGATAGCATTTTATTTAAAAATAATGATAAAGCAATATAGTTTAAGAGATTTAAATATAAATGATATGTATGATTTTTTTTATAAATACTATTTATAAAGGTTTGATATTTTACTAACATATTTTATTAATTTTTGTAATATATATATATGTATATATATATTTAATAGCTTAAATGCATAAATGAATAATGAATTTTTTTTTATTGTTTAAGATTGAGTATCGAACTAAGAATCAATTCTAGAATTTAGAATTTAGAATTGAGTAACTAAAAAGAATATCAAAATAATATATAAATAAGATTTAAAGAGTTATTAAAATTTAATTTTAACAAAATAGTTCTTGTCTAATTTATTATTGTGTAATATACTATAAATATAGTAAGTTCAATAAGAATTTTAATTAAAATCTTAAATCT